GGCCAGCTCTGGTACAAAAGCTGTATAGCTTCATTAGGGAAGTGTTGCGCCCAAATGTACAAATCCTGCTGAGCATCAGGGCAGAGTGCTGTACTAGTGTGGCTAATGAGCTTCCAGGACAGAGCTGGCTGGTACCCCTTCTGGTCAACTCTGAGAGTGAGTTTTGGTCAGTATGCATCAGTTTTGGTCAGTTTCTACCCCAAAACACCCTGACATGACTATTTTAACAAAAGAAATAATAATACTTCCCCTTTCCCCACAAATTTAGGTTTCATTTCTGAGTCATGCTAAAATGAAGGCTGAGAGAAATTAATTCTTTTGTATATTCTCATTGTGAATTAGTTAGGAATTTATTGTAATTCCTTTCATAGCAGGTACGTAGAAGCAGTTCTGCAGAGCTTGTATTTTTTTGATGGCAAACTAAGCCATTCTATTTCTGGTAAGATGTATTTTACGCACGCTTCAAGTAAATCACATTGTTCAAACATCTTAAAACAAATGTGATTTGGAAAGTTGGAAAGTTTCAGGGTGAAGTTGAGAGAAAAATAAAGCAGTGATATTTCCTTAGTACTAGCTGTGCAAGAGGGAAAAACTGCTGGTTTTAAGAGCTAGAAACACCTGGCATTAAATTGAATCTTGATCTCTTAGAGCTTGTTCTGTAACACATGTAAAAGCTTAGCAAGTTATAAAGCAATTTTTTCCATTATACATCTTTTTCTGTAAAGAAAGAAATTCCACAAAATAGCTATTGTGTATTCATTGTAACCTGTATTGCCAGCATTTCTTAATGACCGTCTTTGGTTGAAATGAGAAAAATAACAACTGCTTCTGGAGTAAAGAGCTATGAATCCTCTCCACCAAAAGAAATCACAAAATAATAGAAAAGTGTTCCAGAATTCATCTCAAGCAGTTGTTCAGTCTGGTTTCTTGCCTCAGAGCATGTAAGATATTCCTGGCATATGTTTGTTTTACCTCTTCTTTACAACTTTCAGTGATGGAGATTCTATTACTGCTCAAGTCACTCAAGCTGTCCCTACCATTAGAAAAAGGTGATAGTTTGGGGTGGGGTTTTTTTGCCATCACCTCCTCTCATACTTTCATGTCTGATCTTAATTTTCTCTAGTTCAATATAAGCTCTTTCTTATCCCATCCACAATGGTCATGGAGAACAACATTCCCTTCTTTGGAACTCCCTTCAACATGACTTACGGCCAATATTGTTGCTTTGTTCCTGGAGAAAACCTCTCCAGTGTTCCAGTTTTTCCTTCTAAATCAAGTTTTTCAAACCTGTGGTTAATCTTGCTGTTCTCTCCTCTTAACTCTCTGAAATCAATTCATCTTTCTTGCAATACAGTGGTCAAAACTGGACATAATATTCCAGCTGAGCAAAGTGGAAGGGTGTTCCATCCTGTTGTAAACATGGTAACTTTATTTATAAATCCTGTATGATATTTTCCTTTTTTTATAAAAGAGGGAATTTGTTGTCATGTGATTTGCACATCCTTTTGATGACAGCCTTGACAGTTGCTTGCCATATTATATTTAGACAGATGGTTCTTCTCTAAGTGTACAGCCTTGCATCTGTTCTTAATGGATTGCAAGGGTATATTTTTGTGCGGACCAATTCCCAAATTTGTCAAGATTGTTCTGGATTGTAACCTTGTTTTCTAATAAATTTTTTTAGTCCTCCACAAGTTAATGCCAGCTGCAAATACAGTAAAGAATACCCTGATTCTGTTATCAAGGTTATTGCTCAATATTTTATATTGAGTAGACCAGACTACTGTGGAATGTCTCTTACTTCAACCTTCCAATTTGAAAGTGATCCCTGGGTAACCACAGTATAGTTTTCCAAGTAGTTTTTACTTACCGTATTTTCCTTGTTCTGCCCTTTGGGAATTTTACGCGAGATGAAGTCAGAAATCTTGCTGAAGTTGAGAAGCACGACATCTACTGAGTCTCAGCTTGGGTACAAAAGTATTACTACTGCAAGTTAAAGTACATCTCAAGTGAATCCCACTTCATGTCAATGAAGTACTTCTAATTTGTAAATATTTGTAATAGAGATTGTCAAGGCTCCACATGTGTCCTATACTCACTGTAACGTTTGCATATGAAGATTTACAAAAGGAGCTGTACCAGCCTTTTCTTTCCTCCATGTCAGCCTTAATGGTGGGACAGAACCTGAAAAGGATCCCATTAATGATAGAGGGTTTGGCTAATTTCTTCATTTTCTTCCGATTTTTCTTGCTTAGAGCATCTGACTTGTCTAAATGGAAGATTTATATGGTTGGACGTGACGGTTTTGAGATGTGAAGGCATTAAGCTCTTGTACAGTTTTGGGTGGACTTATTCCACTGAAATGGACACAGAAGAGGGTTTCTGTGTAGGACAGTGCTGAATGCTGAGGTGATGCCAGTAACCTCTTTTGTCCTTTGCAAGGATGGAGAAGGTTCACCTGCAGCATTTTATGGAGGTTCAGAAAAGCCTGTTTGACTGAACTGTGGGACTTGAGATGTCTTCCAGCTTAGTCAAGCTAGAAGGTGAAACTGAGGGTGTTTTCCAGTCATTTGGAAAAGGTAGAAAGTCTGTTACCTGGCATACCGTATGGCTGCAGTTGGACATCAGAGTAGAAGCTGGGAATGTTGATCTACCGATAGGTTAGTTATTCACATGGCACAAATGTGTATATATACCCAAGATAGTAGGTTTACACTTGGCACCATTTTTCAGACTGGGAGAGGTATTCCTTCCTGCCAAGTTGTTATGAACAGAAAGTGAGGCATGAGACACCACATATTTTTCTGAAGTGTGAAAAGTTCTAAGCCTAACGAAGTGTGATGTGGGCTGAAAACCGTGGAGAGTTCTGTGATGTGGTAGTTTCAGAAATAAGGTGCATGGCTCTAATTATTGACATGTATCAAATTTTGGAGTGCTGTTTACATAAGAAAATTTAAATCTGATACTGGTGTTGCTACAGAATTGTTTTCTGTTTTTTACTCATGCCTGCCTTGAATGAATCCAGTCCACTTATCTTAAATTTTATCTAAACCTTTAAAACACGTTGACACTTAAAATGTAGAATCAAAACTTCCCATGTGCTTTTTTTTTTTTTTAAATTATGCTGAAATGTCTGTACCTCTCCCTTTTTTTCAACCACTAAACAGTCTCATTTTCAGTTGTTTTTAAGTTGCTTTGCCTTCGGAAGGTACTCAACAGTCTAATCCAGAAATATGAACTAAGCTGTGGTAGAATAAAAGCTATAAATCACCAGTCCCCTAGTGATTCTCTCTGTATACATCAGTGCTAGTTAATATATTTTGCGGCATTAATGCTTCCAGTGCTTCTAAATTTTCTGTTTGTTGCCTTGCTGAACATGTAATAGCTTGGAAGGTGGATGGATTGTGAGCTTCCAAAGTGTTACAAAGTACCTTTCCAAAGTCCTGGAGAATTTTTGAGAGGGGGTAATATTTTTCATTTTTTCAGTAAACTTTTTCATTTCCAAGAAAAGCAGTTCAGCCTACAAATTTATTGGTCGAGTGGGGGACCTTGATAGAATTTGTTGGTGAACTTTGAAATCATTTCAACACAATGTTTCTACAATTGCAACAGCTTCAGAAAATTTTCTTCTTCAATTAATGGAAGGCTTTGAATGCTCTTTTGCTCATAGCTGGGAAAAACAGAAAGATGACTCAGATGCGTGTAGGTTTTACCAGGAGTCTGTCTGTTCTGTATCTAATGATTGCTGCTAAGAAGTCTGCTGCCTATGGAAAATGAAACATTAGTGAGATGATGGAGTGCTGGCACTTGAAATAATACCTGCTTTGGAAATAAGGCAGGGGAAGATGTATTGAGGTAGGAGTCACAGGACCGTAGCCTGGCTAATCAGTTGCTCTGAGCTGCTAAATGTCTGTGGATTCCACTGATGGTATTGACATTGGTCGCTCCACTGAGACGCTGGAAACAACATTCATTGTAAGACAAATTAAAATTGTCATGTAGATGTGCCAACTGAATTTTAAATCTATTCTGTTGTAAGTTAAACATGTAATTTGACTGGTCTTAACTTTCCTGACACAGGTTCTTGGTCAAGTTAGTCACTCATGTAGGTAGAATAAGCAAGGATAAAATCAAAGAGCATTAATGACTGGGATAGCTAATAGCTGATATGATGAAACTATTCTCTTTAGACCGGTGGAGTGCTGGCTGCTCTAAACAGCTGAAGGAGAAGCCCTCTCAACAAAAAATCTTCAGAAATAAGTAGTCTTGTCAAATGTGATTTTGGGGCTGAGCTTTCCAATGTTTTCCTATAGTAGTGCAGAAATAAGATTGAAATCTGTTGAATACTTCTTCTATTAAGAGATACATTTCTTTTTTATTTGCATATCCACTTTCTTTTACATCTTTTCATCAATTTTCTTCCTGTCTAATAACAATCCATTCTTGATTAATTATTTTTTCTGAATTTTCCCTATTAATTTTTAGAGGTTTCATAGTTTTACTGTAAAGACCTCTTTCCCCTACTTCATTCTGTTAGGGTTTGTTTGGTTGGTTTTTTTAATTCCCTTTTCTCCAAGCATGGTTTTGTATCTGTTTCTAAATCAATCTTCATTATTAACACAATTTCTTTTTCACTCTTCCACTTACTCTTTTGGAACGAGGACAGAAACATAAGTCTTGCTCATGTTTGCTTTCCAAATGTATGTATGTATTTGAGTAATTCTGCACAAAGATTTTTGCATGGTTTTGGGGAAGGAGGGGCGGAGTGGAGACTGGGACTTGAAAGCATTAGTCAAGGCTCAGGCAGGAATTGTTGTGACTTTTGCACTGGTAATTATTTCTGAACTTTCTGAACTGCTTCAAAACATGATCACATTACTGTGTGCGTCATTGTGAGAGACAGAGAAATTTGTTTTTTCTAAATTCTTACATCTCCTCAGAAAAATGCTTTGGTACTACATAATTGCCATTGTTCTTTTGCGTGTTTTTCATAGCATCCTCCTGGGCAGTTGAGAAGGAAGTACAGTTCCTGCTCCACTATTTTCCTGGATGACAGCACAGTCAGTCAACCAAACCTCAAGTATACCATCAAATGGTGGGTTTTATAATTTTTTTTTTCTGCTAGAACCTACGTTATGTATATATATTTATGTATACATATTTCTGAACCATTAGTAAGCAAGCTTCAAAGGTTTTAGTTTTTGAAGTAGTAAATTTATTTAATCCAATCATGCTCCAGAGGCAGTGAATAGGATGAGCAAAGGGTATTACTCTTATTTCAGATCCATGCAGAATCAAACTCCCAATAGTGCATATCTCAACAGAAAGCAGCAGTTAAGGATCTCAAATTCCAGCAGCTGAAATCCTTGTGCATCAACATTCAACTGGGTACTTGTTTTGGATGAGTCCTCAAAACTTACTTGGGTACTTGTTTATTCAGAATTTCAGAATTATCTGAAACTGAAGAGCTCTTTCTGTTCATGAGAAAATGCTCGTTTGTTAAGCTTTCCTTCCAGTTTTCTGTTTGAAATGGAAATTAATTGCCTCCAGATTAATTTCCTTATTGAGTACAAGGGCATAAGCAGTTTATTATACGGCAGTGGGGAGCCTTGTGTGTGGTGCGCGCATGGGCTTACCCTTGGGTGACGTCTCAGATGATCATTTCAGGTTTCACTGGTGCCTTTTTACATTTGGAGAGAAATGAAATTGATATTTATAGAGCATTTTTCTTTACATTTTGTACAGTAAGGGGAAAAAATGAGAGAACAAATGCTCAGGCATTTTATGCTGTTTGTTTATTATGATTGCTGATATACTCTGTTGAGTTGTTTGTAGGATGGTTGTCTTGGTGTACTCAAATGCAAAAATTTATTGAGACAAAATCTGTGCTGCAGAGATACTTATATGAGAGACTTATATTCAGACTAATAAGTCCAAAGGAGTTTATAATGTTGGTGGTCACTAAAACATGTTCTTAATTTTTCTGTTTAAGGAAAAAAGGGGGAAGTGGAAAAGGGATTTGCAGTCAGACTAACACCTAATTCCTCATCAGCTATTTCTGCCTGAAATATAGTCTTGCTTTTCCTCAAGTTTCTTTAATTAGTAACTTTAAAATATTTCAGATGAACACTGGGAAAAGGTTTTTCATTTTTGAGTTTGGTTTTTTTTTCCTCCTGGAATCTCATACTCTTCGGCTCTAAAATCCTTTGCATGCAGATTTTTGTAAGTGCAGCCTTCTGGGTGGGTTTCGCGTCCCTTTTTCCATGAGAACTGAGACTGCTCGTGGAAAGAAGAGGTGGGTTCTGTTGGCCGCAGCAGCCAAAAAGCATTTTCAGCGGGTCACGGTGGCCAGCAGCAGCCATGTGGAAGAGGAGACAGAAAGACAAGCTGAGGGGGAGCAAGGTGGTGACGTTTGGGAGAGACTTGGGGTGCGTGGCAGGGGGCAGAGCTGCAGGGGGGAGAGGGCACAGGTCAGGCTGGAAGAGCCGGCGCTGGGTCCGGGTGGGAGGAGTTGTGCAGGGCTGGGGCCAGGCTGCTGGCGCGGGAAGGGTTGGAAGCTGCAAGGGGTCAGAGGGTTTGAAAAGGGGTTATGTGGGGTGAGAAACTGGACTGTGGCACATGAGGCCTCTGGGTGAGGAGTCTTTTCCTCCTCTCCTGTCTGGCTGCACATTCAACAGATTTAAGGGTGGGGAGATTGCAGGATTATTGCTTTTGTAGGACTGCTTCGTTTCTTGTTCCCATCCTGGCAGTCTCTGCAGATAAATGACTGTTGCGCCTAGGTAAATCTATGAGGGATGTATTTTGGCCAGCTCATTTATTTCTTTTGGGTCATGTTACGCACCGGTGTGTTTAAAACATTAGCACATCTACTGGAGATCTGCAGCATTGACGGGGTGGCCAGGGTAGCGTGATGGAAAGCTTCATAAGCTTCTTTCCTGCACACTGAGTGCTGGCTGAATGAGCATATGAAAAGCAGAATGAAACTTGGATCTGAGTTAATCTATTATAGCTCTGAAAGACCTTCAGATTCTGATATAGATTTCTGAAGAGTAAATATTTTCCTGAACTTAATTTTAACATTTTGTTACAAAAGCAACCATATGGGCACCAAGCAGAGCTCTGCACATAGATTCTTGCATCAGCTTTCATAAAGTGAACAGGAGCTGCAAGTGTGTTCCTAGGGGCATAATTTAAAATTAAATTTTAGGACTAATTCATTTTGTGAGTAGCTTTCAGTCAAATTAAATTCATTCATAAATGTGTTTTTTGTGTTCAGTGAGGACTGTGTCCTTTAAATGTCCAGGACATTTAAGAGATACTGTGTATCTCTTAATCCCTTAAATATGTATCTGTAGAAAAAATAAAATTTAAAAAGCATTTATGGTCTAAAAACTTCTAATGCAGCCAGGTAAAAGCTATAATGCTCATACAAAGTTAGTAAAATATATTTACTTTCAACTAAGAAAAAATATTTTCCACTATGTGACTATAAAAAAAAAAAAAAAAAACAAAACCCCCCCGCCAAAAACCCCAACACAGCCAAACCTGAAATAATTTAAAATTCTGTAGCTCCAACATATTGTTTTTCTAACATGCAGTATGTCAGTTTACATGTAAAAATTCTGGAATAAAATTACAAAGCAACCAATTGTCTCTTTTAAAAGGCCTTTTATGGAAAAGGAGGGGAGTTTTGTGTGAGTTTAAGACATAAGCATCTTACAGTGAATCACTGACAAAACAAATTGTCAACAAATAGAATTGGTGAACTCCCTCCTCCCTCCTCCTTCCTCTTTAGCTTTGACTGGGTTTTACGCTGCTGGAACAAGTAGGGAGGGTGCTGGTTCTGCTTTATCCTTCAATAAAGCTCTATCATGAGTAAAGCATGTGTCCTTCGATAAAGCTGGAGTTGTGAGTTGGAAACTGGAGAAGAACCATGAGAAGCCATGTCTGAATTTTCTCCAGTCTCAAATGTGAATGAGAACAGTTAGTTGTATACGTAATTAAAATCTTAGCTTTCTGTGAATATAAGGACGCATTTTGTCTTTGCGCAGAATATAAACAGAGGTACTTGGTGTGATTGAGAACATAGGAAATGCATAATGCAGTAAGCTATTCAGGGAGTCGTCTTTCTGGAGTTAAAATAAGTAACTTGATGCCATAAAACTGTAGGAGCCTGGTATTTGAGTCTGGTATGTGAGTAACTACATAGAAAGACAGCCAAAAGTTAATGGATTTAGGTATAAAATCATAAGCCAATGGTGATTAAAACACTTCATGTTAGCTTGGCAGCATTAGCAAACAATAAAAGAGAACGTCCAATGCCTGTGATGCTTTATCTTCAACCTTGGAAGTCAGGAGGAGTTTTAGCATTGACTTTAGTGGAGTAGGGCATTAAGTGGAAGGTACGTGCAACTTGGTATGTGGAATATGAGGATTTTTGTAAGGTACTTCATTACTAGTAAAAATGAGGCACTTGGAGTGTGCTAAACAAATATTATAAAATTGTCTATTTACATCAGTTTTCCTGGTATCTAACAATGAATGGAAGAAAACAGGCTGTTGAGCATACTTTTTTGTCATGCATTGTGCTAGGTTTTAAATTTGCATGTTAATATCACAAATAATATAATTTGACAGTCCTGAGATATTAACTCTGTATTTTTCTTTACAGTGTAGCTCTTGCAATATATTACCACATCAAAAACAGGTATGTGAATAATGAAATCTTGTACTGAATACATTGTTAATCAAAACAAATGAACTGCCCAAACCCTAGAAATCCATGCTCTGTTTCTTTCAAAATGTTTTTGGGTAGTAGTTTTTGTATTTCCCATGTTAGAAATGAGAAACATATTCTTTTATGTTTTTATATACATTATTTTGCTTAGAAAAATAAAAATTAGAGGATTACGTACCATAAAAATCTGGAGTACAGTTCAGCATTGAAAAACTTCGATGATTCAGTGTTTGGTTTTATGTGCACTGGGCACTTCTGCATTGTTGCATATGTTGCAATTACATACAGAGAAATCTGAATAGTGTCTTTCAGGTTTATTTTTTTAGGCTACACGTTTGTAAAGTTAACTGTGTACATCAGTGATCAGGTAATTGATTTTGAAATAAAAACTTAATTATACAGTAAGAGTGACATTGTGAAGAGATGTAATTCAAGATGCCTCAGAAGCAGAGCAGGTCCTGGCTTATCTATTCTGTTGTAGTATGTTTTAGATCTCTGTTTGGCAAATTGATTGAAATTGAATGGAAAATAGGTTCTCTAAAAAGTAACTTGGTACATGAATTAGCTTTTTTTCATGTTGAATTGCGCTTTTGTATCTTAAATTTCCTGTGCTTATGATATGTCACAGTATCATAAAATAATATTTCCTGACATTTCTAAGGAGAGATTGTATAAGTACTTTAAGTGACTTTTGTGTCCATGGCTTTTCAATGTGTCTTTTCAGAGAACTTGGCTTAGATCTCAATCTAACAAGCCACTTACACAAGCTTTTTCTTCTGGACTGTAAGAAGTCTGTCTAGAACAAAAGGAGTTACTCATAAGTTTAAAGTTAAGCTGGTACGTCATTCGGGACCATGTTTCAGGTCACTGGAACCCATCACACTTCTTGAAACAAGGCTGGCATCTAAAGAGAAACCTTTAGAAGTGCACACGGGCAGAAAGGCTCAGGGCTTGATCCCTGCTGAAAGCTCTTAGAAGACTTTCCAAGACGTCAGTGGGCCTTGGACTGAAACATGGCAATTTGTAAAGCAAAAGTTGGAGTGAAATCTTTTTGCAAACTTCTGATCTTGTTTCCCAGGAAATGAGGCGTTAGTGATCATGCCTGGATTACTTGTTTATCCATCTGCGGTTCCCTTTTTCCCTTTCCTCCATTGTCCCTGGGTTAGTTTGGTTAACTAGTCAATTTTTACTACGCTTCACTAAATAATAGAGATCTCAAAGATAATCAGACTCTAAAGTTTTGTAGAAATAAGTTATTCTCAAGTGCTCTGTTAAGTATCATGCCAGCTGAGTAAAAGGCTGAGGAGAATGGGGCACATTAGGGACCACAAAGGGTGAGAAACTTCAGTAAGAGCTCACAGTCGAGCAGGAGGAATCTAGAGCCAAAGTACACCAGGCTCGCTTCGTGCCGATTGCCACGGGGCTGATTTTTGTCTGCAGTAAAATATGCCCATTCGTGGTGTTACAGAACTTGATGCGAATTTGATCTACAACTAGTAGACAGAGAGGCTAACCCTTTATAAAATAAAGGTTTATGTCAGTGTCTTGCAAACAAACACCTTCCGAATGTTATCTTCTTGGGAAACTTGCTATCTGCCCTTTCGCTTTTGGGATGGAGAGGTGATTTATTCAGGAGGAACTGGCTGCTGCTTCTCCCTCCAGAAGCTGCCCGGGGTGGGGAGATGTGTGGTAAACGCGCCCTCTGCCGCGCTCGGGACAGATGGTCTCGGCAGTGATGCTGGAGCGGGCTTGCGTACGTCAGTTAACAACTCTGAAATGAAGGATGTGACGTGACTGTTCTGTCTTAGGTTGTCTCTGATTTAGGAAGGGAGGGACAACGTGACAGCAGCATTCACTTGTACCTGCTGCTGAAAGAGCAGTGGCAAAACATATGTTCTGTTTCCTGCCATTATAGGCAAGAGGAAGTTGTTGACGTATGTGGTAGATTTTGGTTCATTATGGGGGTGGGGAGCAAGAAACCACTGTAACTCTTATATAGCCTCAAGGTTGATTTTGACAGAAAATGAGTCGAACACCTGCTTTGCCAGGGAAGAATTCTTTTCAGACAGTATTTATTTGTTCCTTTTCTCCGGCAGAGTAGGCTTAAAACTGAATTACTTTCTGATGTTCCAAACTCTCACCAACTCCAGTTTTTTGAGGAACTATACATGAAACAGAATATTTCTTCATATGTTTCCCACATTTCATTTGATTGTAACATTCTAGTTATCATTCCTTCTTTTCCAAGTGTCTCCTATCATTGTTATATTGATTGGCTTTCTGCAGCTTTTATTGTGCTTAGCTATTCAACAAGCAGTAAAAGACTACACCTATCTTATTTTTGGAGGAATTCATAAATATTGGTGAATTTGCTAAATAAATAAATAAGATAAACCCCAACAAACTAACCATGAAAAATGCTTAGATCAATTACTAGATGGTTTATTTGTGAAAGATAACAATGTGAATTTGTTCTAATGAAGACGAAAACCTATCAATTCCTTTTTTTTTGTGTGTAATAGTTTTTTTGAGGGCAATCAAATGTGCCTTCACGGCATGCAGCAGCTACAGCATGAAGAAATAAAATAGGAAATGCTTTCTTTCTCTCATTGTGAAAGGCCACAGTTTACTGTAGCACATCAGTGATTCCAGTGAGACTACTTCTGCATTAAGATACTAGCCTTTTTATGTAGTGGTAAAAGAGTCTGGCCTAAAATCCTTGCTGATTAGGAATTTTCTAGTAATTATCTCAATCTGCTTTTTTGTTTTAATTCAGGTACTCCTTTAAAAAAAAAAAAAAAAAGTGTTTATTTCCGGTGTTAGCAGGCTTTATAGCAGAAAAAATGTCATCTTCAGATGTTGAGGTTTAAATGTTACTTGCTAATAAGTACATTTTGTAGACATGAATCCACTGTAAAACTCATGTTTGCATGCTCTGAGAGACAGATACTGTTGAGTAAAGACAGGTAACATATTCAGCGGTTTCTCTCTTAAGAACTCTATGACCTAAGTACCAGGGATGCTAGAAATAAAGATGGGATTGTAATAAGTAAGTGACATGGATGCATCTGTCCAGAAAGTGTCCAGTTCTAACTGGCACTGTTCTACCACTTGCTTTTGTGATTGTTCATGTTCCTGCAAAGATTGCACACAGCAAAAATCTTAAATTACATTCTGGATGTTGGGCTTGTGAAGTTGCATCAACTTTCATGCTGATATTGAGCAACAGGGATCTGAGAGCAAAGTAGCAAATAAACCCAGTGAATAAGAATATTATTTTGTCTGAAATTTTTTTTCGTATACTCGTTCTTGCTTTCAGAAATCATTAGTAGGGTAGGGTTTTCCAACGAAATAAAAAGTGAACTATGTATGTATTAACTAAAGGATAACTGTAAAAATAGTGCTGCATATTTGTAAGTGTTCGTGATGTTGACAGTAGAGGAGGAGGAGGAATTAGGCATATTTGTAAGTGTTCGTGATGTTGACAATAGAGGAGGAGAAGGAATTACTTAAAAAAAGAGATTGCGAGGATTAACAGTTAAGAAAAGGAGAGTAAGCTGAGCTGATTTTGTGATAAGTTTATAGTAGTACCTCTTAGGTTGTGAAAAAGCCTCACAGTAGAGTGTGCAAAGGCTGTGTGTCTTTGGCATTGAAAGCTGAAAATTGTAGCATATTTTGTAGTATGGATTTCATATTACACGTGAACCTTATGGCAGAATAAGTCCAACTTGTATTTGAAAATCACATTTCTGCAGTGTTCCTAAGCACCCCGCAGCACAAGCAGTATTGGAGTTTTAACGATACACTTGTGTCTATGAGAGCTGCATGTTGTTGTGTTCAGATAATGACGCTACTTTGGTTTTAATATCTTTTAGGGACACAGATGGAAGAATGCTCTTAGATATTTTTGATGAAAACCTTCATCCCCTTTCGGTAAGTTCATCTGCCTCTTCTTCCCTTTCATGTGAACTGTCTGTCCTTCCGTCTGCTTCATTTTGTTTCAGTCACCTATTTGGAAGTATTTCTTCCTTAGAAATCCGAAGTGCCGCCAGATTATGACAAACATGACCCAGAGCAGAAACAGATTTACCGCTTTGTTCGGACGTTGTTCAGTGCTGCTCAACTGACTGCTGAATGTGCCATTGTCACGCTGGTGAGTGTCTGAGGGATGACGTCAACAATCTGACAGACCCAGTTTTGTTCCCAAAGCTTGGGTTTGTATGATTTAATAGATCTAGGTGCTGCCATGGAATTTTTTCTCACCTTGGAGACCAAGGGAATTTCTTAATGGGAAGAGATACTACAGTTCGTTTTCTTGCGGAGAGTAAGTGATGGAAGAAGACATTGGGTAACATGCGACACAAAAGCCGAGGTTATGTCTTGCCCTCACAGAGGGATAATGTTACAGGCCACCAAGGTGACTAATAGAAAACACAGGTGGCATAAGTGGTCTGAACAGGAGGGAATGTTAAAAGCAGAAAAGCTTCCACTTTTGGGGGTTTGCTGTGTATCATTCTAGCTCCCAGCAGAGCCTCGGGAACAGCTGTAGGTAATTTAATCGCACTAATAAGAATTGATGGGCATATGAAGGATTTGGTGAGTGACTGGGACATGTTGGTGATGGCTCTTTTTTACTTGCACTGTACTTGTCTTTCAGGACCACGTCATAGGATTGAACAATTGTACTCAAGGCTGAAGTTTAGCTACTTAAAAATAGCACGACACAAAAGAAGGTTCAGATTTTCAGCTGGTGTGGATCAGCATAGCAATGTGGATTAAGGAGCTAAAGTGATCTCCACCAGCTGAGAATTTCTTAATTTTCCTGAAATTTTTGTCCTGCCAACTCTGGCAAGCTTCTTCAGCTTTTAGGCACGATTTTGGCCATGTTCTTGACTCAGAGATTTAAAAAATAACAAAATGGTTTTTTTACCACTACAACATGTGGTTTCGTAACAGCTTTGTTATGCACTTGAGATGGAAGAAGGGGAAATTGGAGAAGGTGGATTTTGAAGCCCAGACCTACTCATTTCCTCTGTTAATCTCTCTCCGTTGGCTTCTAAGATTAGTTGGCAGGCTTTTCTTCTTCAGACAGTCAGAATGAATTGTGCTATCCAGTACAGAACGGGAATATGAGAGAAATAGGGCAAGAAACACTCTGCAGTGCTCCACCCTTACATTTTGAAGTATTACTTTACCTAGTTACTTGACCCAGCCATTACTTGTTTTCTGAAATGACATTTTGTCTCTTTTACATAATTGCACTAAATTCTTGTCCTTCTCCCTTTTCTTCCTAAGTGCTTTCTGCTGGAGGAAGATACGTTGTGTGAATCAGTATGTTCCTGTGTAGTTTAATTAATCTACTGTCAAGTACAGTGGAACGTTGTTGTAGTTATCTGTTGTTTGATCTTAGGTTATTTGATCAATGAGGGCATTGTTTAGTAGAAGGGAAGAGGGCTTTTTTTAAATAACAATATCTTCCTGTTATTGCAATGCATGGAAAGTTCTTCCCCACAACTCTTGTTAACTCAGGCATATATTTCAATATCTTTAATTTGTAACTACATCCTTGCCTCTTCTGGTTCTTGTGTGGTTTCCCTGCAGGTAACTCTTCTGGTGTGATCTGCAATGAGGTATAAATGTTTCTAACTCATTTGCTATATTGCAGAGGCAGTTTCCGTAGTAGTTAGTGCTTGAAACCTTAGGTGGCTTGGTTTTTTTTACCCAACACGATAACAGATAAACCGTTTTATAGCCTAGTTCTCAAAGCAGCCATGCAGGTGTTTGCAGATAGATTTGGGGCAGGTAATCAGCATTACTGTTCTGCTGTTCTTGCCCATGTTTTCAGGATAATAGCACCTGCCTGACCCCTCTTTCCAGAAACCTTCAGAGTTTTTGGGTATATAGTGTTTTACAAGTATGAAATTCTTCTGCTGCTGTTCTCAGTTTCCTCTGTACTTCTAGAACCCATTTCTTTATTTGTTAGTGTAATCAGGAGGGGCCACAGAGACAGATCGTGTTGTTTCTGAAATGTTCAAACGTGGAAATGAATCTGTTAAAAAGCAATCAACCCTTTCCCCCTCCCCACACTCCTGAAATCTTAATAGTGTTGATATTGCTATTTATGAACCTTCCAAGTGCTTTCAATTTTGATATCCTGTCTGGAGAAGAAGAGAGCAGCATTCCCTGCTGGAGCTTATGTTTTGCCATAGTCTGGCCATCCGTCGGAGAGCAATCTGATAGCCCTGTCTGCCACTTGTTCCTCCTGGGAGGGTTGCCAGAAGGCAGGAAGTATATCTGTGGAGATCACAATACATTTTGAACAAGATGCTACAACTATTATCTTTCTTTCACTCACTCTATTTTTAAACAGTCCTAACCACCCCTTTTTACTGCCCAAATTATTAACATGGTCTGAGATGTGTAGTTGAATGCACTCGCTGTTTGTCTTTTTACATGCCATTAGCCAGGTAGAAGCAGCAGTTAGAATTGGTTATATAGCAGTCTGTATGTTCAGCACAGGAGCTGAGTAAATGTGAAACTCCAGACTGTTAGATAAGCTAGTCTCCAGTAAAAAGCCGGCATTGTGTTGCTTCAAGCACTTAATTAAAATATTTCAATTAAAGCCTCCACTATTACAGCAAAACCAATTTATAATTAAACAAAAAATTTAATTTTCACACAGCCTCCAGAGCTGCCAAGAGATTTCCCATACTGGTGGGTGAAAAATTAAAATCTCAGGTTGAAACAATTAAATACTAAGTCACATTATTTATTTATAAAATAGTACCATAAGAATAAGAATAAAATTAGTTTTAAGAATTGTGTTGCTGATTTAAAGTCCTGCAAATAATGTTTCTTGTCCCAGTGAACAGCTGTACTATACTCTGTGACCTGACTTTGTGAGAAAAATAATGCACATGCGGTTTTCTGTCGACCCAGGGTATTCCAGTCCTTGCTAAAACTGAGAAATGCCTGTCTCATCTTCACCGTTTCCTGAAGTGCAGAGGTGGCAAGTTGTACTTATGTTAATCTACTTGGATAGCAAATAAAAATGTGAACAGGAGCGTTATCCATACCAACAGGAAAACAATACAGTGTTTGCATATCATGAGAATTAAATATTTATGCTTTGTTCTTTTGTTCTGTAAAAACAATCCTATTAACTAGACCTGAAGAGGGGAACAGTCCAAGTTTTCTGCTTTGCCTTGGCATGACTTTCTGAGTTTTTTGCAAATAGGCCAAATCTAAGGCTCCTAATATACTTCCCTGTCCATAGTAGTTTCAGAGAGGATGCATTTTGCATTAGCAAATATGCAAATAGGCAAATATGCTAGGTCTATATGCTATAGACTGGTCAGATACAGTGGTATGTAAATACACACAGTACGTGAGCTGAATTATTTCTGTGAAGTTCAAAGGAGCGTGCTTTTGAAATACGTTAAAAAGGTCATACTGTGACTGAGAGGATTTGATATTGGGAAATTTGAAATTTGAAGTACGTAAGAATAAATTCTCCTTATGAAAAATAGGGATTTAATTAATCCAGCCAGATGTTTCTGAGTTCTTATTGTACTCTTCAGTCACATTTTCAGCAACTAGGTAGAGAGAGAATATTGCTGAACTGCGTTGTGAAAATTAGAGTGTTTGTGGAGAATTTTGTTTTCTGTGTGTTTGGAGGAAAGGAGAAAGCTTTTAATTGATTTCCTTTCACTGGGGTATTTTTACTTTTAAATGTTGATAAAATACCCTTTTTTTTTTTTCATATTTCAATTGAAGTATCAAAAATCTGATATTTGTTTAAAAGAAAACAATAACACAAAACAAAGTGATCAGAGTCCATAGAGACACTTGATCTGCAGCAGAGGTCCTTTTCAGCTGGCCCGGTATAGCTACCAATCCTTATGCAGCTAATAGAAGATGCAGGTTCCTCTGAAGACCTCGGAGTACAGTGCAAAGGATTGTTTATTGCCTGGTTTGATGCTGTCACTCTCCATCCAGTGACCATGAGGGATCGTGAGTGCGGTTGGGTGAGCAAGGCAAAGCACTGAAGATGGCCTCTGCCTCGTGTGAGGAAACCCATGAGAAGAGTTGTGTGTATCCAATATTGTTGGTGTCCACCTTTAAGCCCACCTCTTTGCTGCATCTGAAGAAAGTCTTCCAGGTGCAGAGAGAAGGTCTCTCCACCTGTGCTGTGGATCCTGAGCCTCTCGGCAGCTGGCCACGTGTCAGGGTACACTCCGGAGAAGGGCAAGAGGAACAGGGGCTTCGTACCTGTGCTCCAGGCACTGGCGGGAGCAGAAGATGCAGGTTCTGGTCCCTGGTTTTAGGGCTATTCTCATCTTTTGACTACAGTCTAACATACAACACATGAATGACTATCGGTTAATACTTACACGTCTCTTAGTCAAGTCTTGCTTTAGGCCTGCTGGGATATACACTTCACAAAAAGAGAACATTCAAGCGGGGGGTTGGGAGGGAATTTTTTTTAAATCCCCAAGAGAAGAGGACATTCAGTCAAAGAATGGGTGTCTGTTTCCCAGTGCATCTCTAAGGGCTTCTGTGTGGGCAAGGAATGAATACTGATCCCAGTTTTAGACTGGGAAGCCGATGTTGCCTAATGGTTTGAGTGCATTTTATATGTATTATAGGTCTTTGTCTTAAAATGAGTAAATCAGGGGGCAAACCTGGAGATGTGTGACTTTTCTCTCAGTTCCATTAGTGCTTCCTATAAATATCTACAACAGTACTTTGCAGTTGTTCACATTTTCAGAGTTTTGTGACTGCATTTGTTACTCTTTTTCAACATTTGGTCTCAAAAATAAGAATTGGATGAATTTGCAAGGACCACGATGGCGTGATGTCCTTTTCCACCAAATGGATGGCACCAGACCTTTGTGGAACATTTTAAATGCCCAGCTGGGCAATTGCAAAGCACAGTTATTTCTGGAGAGTCGTGATAGGGAACTGGCTGATTGCTTAGAACAGAGCATATGGCAATTTAGTGATTGGATTAGAGCCGTAATTTGGCTATATGGGACCCACTACCAATTACAATTTTTTCCGTACAAACATCTTTTTAGTTTCAAGGCGTTGTGACACACTGAAGTTTTTTCATTAAAGAGAGAGGACTGTGTAAATATTGTGTAAATACTT